AAAACAAAGCATCCGCTGCTGAGGTCTGCTTGCTATCTCGGAGTCTTTCGCGGGTACCGATGAGCAGAGCGGAGAAGCAATGGTGGAGGTGGGCTGAAGCGGTTCCTGTAAAGGTTGCTTGAAGGGTTCCTTTGCACGAGGGGTTCGGGGTTACGGTAGGGTTTGGGCTTTTCGGGCTAGGGTTCACGAGATATTCTAATTAGGGTCCTGAAGGCATCGATCTGTGTTTTTGCATGTACGTACTTGTACGTGATTTTTTGGTGTATATCCTAAACCACCGGTCTCGGCCCTAAACTCCCCATCGTAAGGCCTGCGCCCTGTAGCAGCAGACCTGTCGCAGGTGGTCCGTCAGATGACAGAGGCGCGGAGCTCGAAGAAGAATCCGCAAGGGGGGTTTAAGGTTTCCGGTTTAGGGTTTAGGCAACCCAGACCTTCTACAGTGCCTAATAGAGCATTATACTCTAAAGCAGATTAGAGATCCTACTTTCGTTTGAAAATGTGGGATTTCCGACAATAGGGGATCCCAACTAGAATCCTTATCAAGAGGACCCCCAAATAAGGTACCCCTGACTTTCGGAAACTCCCACATATTCCCTTAAGGGCTTTCGGAAGCTTGGGGAACCCTAAGCCCTGCAAGGCTTGGCCACCGTATGTTGCCTCGCCGATTTGTCGCTAGCAGTAGCTTGTGTGCATGCAGCCCAGGAGGAGCGACCTTGCCTGAAAGCTGCCTAGATCTGTTGCGACACATGGTTCTTTCGGCTTGCGCTGCGTGACAGCAGGGCGTCGAGAGCGTGCATCGGGCCGGCTAACGCAGCCGGTGCCGTGCAAGCTGGTCGCTGGGTTGGGGTCAAATCTGGCGCATGAGTCAAAGTATCGCTGGACCCGCTGAGTAAGGGGCCCTTGTCGCAGTTATCGTTCAGGATGTGAGTACGGTGCCTCAGTCAGCTTCTCAAGTTCTGGAATCAAGGGGTTCAGGGTTTAGGGTTTTGCTGTCCGGACCAACACCCCGTTTAGTAAGTAGTATACTGTATACTGTTGACTATATACCTTAAGCACCTTGGGTGTTCTTGCAGACTAAAATATGATGAGGCTGTGCAGGATAATACCCGAACCTCCCAAGTAATAACGTACTTTCTCCGCCAGCCATAAGCCTTAAGCTCCACCACCCCAAACCCTGACCCCAAACCCTAAGCCCTAAACCCACACCCTTAAACCTCAAACCCTAAACCCAAACCGCAAACCCCCAAACCCTTAAACTCTAAACCCTAAACCCTCAAGCCAGGCACTCCTTTGGGGAGAGCAGAACAGCCATGACGACGGCTTCTTCGACTTCTTCTGTGAGAAGAGCTCCTCGGGCGAGGGTTTAGGGTTCCTATAAAGGGATCTATAGGGTTTAGGGTTTAGGGGTTTAGGGTTTGTGATTTTTGGGTTTAGGGGTTTAGGGTTTAGGACCGGCTGGGTGTGAGAGTTTTATGGTTTCGGGATTTTCAGGTCTTCAGTTGTTTTCTTGTAATGTATTTACCGGGGTTTTGGGCTTCAGGGTTTCAGAGTTTAGGGTCCAAACTTTTGGGGTTTAGGGTCTTAGGATCAGGATCCTGGGGTATCACGCTACAAAGAAACCCGTACGTTAGGTCCGGCCCCCACTCAGTAATAGTTGAATAGTATTCATAATATAGATATAGTAGGACCTTAATAGTAGCCCTATTATAGACTCTTACTGTATGGGGGCCGTAACCCGTAGGGTTTAGGGAGTTCGGGCTTTCAAGGCGTAGGGTGTAGGGGTTCATGGTTTAGGGGCTTAGGAGCCTAGGGTTCACGGCAATGCATCAAAAGTGTATAAATGTATTTATGTAAATAATACCTCCTAAGTCCCATGATCCTCCAAGTATTGGAAGCTCAATTCTTTAAGGGGTTTCGGCTACTAGGACCCGGAGTAGGCCCTTATTCCCCTTTTTAGGGTTTAGGTTCCCTTATAACCCCCTTTAAACCAAAAAGGGCACCCTTTTTTTATTCCTAGGTTACTCTTAGGTCTAGGCTTCGGCGATGTATTCTGATTGTTTCTACACAGCGGTCATCTGAAACGTCATGGAGCTTTTAGTTAAGCCACTCCTGCGTGCCGGTTTAGGGTTTAGGGGCTTTGCTGAGGCATTCTTGCAGACTTCGTCCGCGTTATTGGGCGCGAGAAAGTACCCAAGACTGTCAAGGTTCAGCTGCTACAAAGCTGCTCGGCACCAAAGCAGACGGTTACGGGTTCAGGGTCGAGAGTTTGGGGTTTGGGATTCGTCGGTTGAAGGTTTGGGGTTTCTTGTCAATTTGTTTTGGGGGGTTTAGGGTTTCTGATCTAGTAAGGTTTTCGGGTGTGGGGTTTATCCCTCGGTTTATCCCTAAACCCTAAACCCTAAACCCTAAACCCTAAACCCTGAACCCTAAACCCTAAACCCTAAACTTTGAACCGACAATTACACGGCTGGTGGAAAAGTTCTTGCATGCCGTCGAAAGCGTCGACCCTCAGAGCCTTCAAAGCACCCAAAATTCTATACCTTTCCCTGACCCTAAACCCCTTATAGCACCCTTTATAGTAGATATAGATCCCCTATAGATCCCTTTAAAGGATTCCTTATAGAACCCTAAACCCCGAAACCCCTAAACTCCCAAAACCCCTCAACCCTACCCCCCCTCCCAAAACCTCTACACCCCTACATCGTTAACCTCAGGGCTCCTGAACCATAAACCCAGAACACTAAAAAGCTTGAAACCCTAAACCCTACACCCGCAGGCACCCTAAACACCTAAAGCCTAAAGCCCAAAGCCCTAAACCCTAAACCCCCCCAAAATAGTAGGATTCTGATAAGGATCCCTAATAAAGGCCCAAGTTTTCTTAATCAGGTTCCTACATTAACCCTAACCCTAAACCCCTTATAGTACCCTTTATAGTATATATATAGATCCCCTATAGATCCCTTTAAAGGAACCCTGAAACCCCAACATCCCAAATCGCACCCCTTGCTGGATTCCGCAGGTTTGTCCATGCTGATTCAGAACATTCGCAGACCCACTTCGCTCTACTACATGTTCAGCCGCCTGGGTTCCGCACTACTGATGATGATACAAATCCTGCATTACCTTAAGGACCCTAATCTATGGGAATTATTGTATATTCCTTATTGTGGATAATGCATGATTTATATCATCAACCCTAGGGTTGAGGTTCTAGAGTTCTACTTGGAGGGGCGGCGGACTTAGTAAGTATGGTTATAAGTAGAGTGAAAAGTACCCTAAATGGAGTTACCCCAATTAGAACCCTACTTCTAAACCTACTTACCAAGTTCCCTGCCCGTCCAAGTACAGTAGGATCTCCATAATAGGCCCTACCTTAAAGCCCAAACCCTTCAACCGTAACCCCTAAACCCCTTATAGTAATCCTGACACGAGTCTTGAAGTCAACAGGTTTCCGGTTTCGGGGTTTAGGGTAAGGGCTTCAGGATTGAGCCACCCGGCTTCTACACTGACTATTTCCTAACAGGGCACGAATTCGTGGGTTCCGTAAGGGTTTCGTAAGTCATGTTTGGGAGATTTCTCCCAAGGCATTTCGAGGCTTCAATAAGTTTATAACAGATGGGCTCTTGTTAGCATAAGGGTGTTTGTAGGTGCCTCAAAAGGGGGGGGCGTATAAGTTATCAAAGTCTTACAGGATTGTACGAGTACAAGTCACGGTTTGGAACTAGACTCGACCCCGCGTGGTGCTGCCGGATCTACCTTACTTGGAGGGGCAGGGGACTTAGTAAGTAGGTTATAAGTAGGGTTATAATTGGGGTAACTCCATTTAGGGTACTTATAACTCTACTTATAACCTACTTACTAAGTCCCCTGCCCCTCCAGGTAACAAAGCATCCTAGAAGTCAACTTGGGCACACACCCCTAGACGTTGAGCCTCAAAATTCGGAGCTCCGAAGCCACAGAACCTCTGAACCCTGATACCCTCAAACCACCGGAACCCGACACCCCAAACAAATCCTCAAGAGAACTTCGTGTAGCAACCTCTGAAGGAACCTTTTTTGTTATTTACTAGTCTCTTTTCCCGTTACAGCATATTAAGGAGGCCATTGTGTCAACGTTTCCTGATGTAGATCACCGGTGAGTCTTAGCGCATCTCGTCTAAACATAGTCAGGGCTCCAAATGTAGCTGCTGAAGGCAACAACCACGTGAACCAACTTATCATGACACAGTTCGACTGGAGCGACACGGACTGCTGCAAGTTTTTGGGGCTCGGGTTAGGGGTGTGCTACCCAGAGGGTCCATCTGTTATACCCTAAACCCCAAGCCCTATACCCTCAACCCTAAACCCTAAACCTTATACTCTATATCCTTAACCCTAAACCTTAAACCCTGCACCCTACCCCATAAATCCCAGACCCCAAACCCTAAATCCTATACCCTAAACCCTTATAGAGTCAGGTCTCCCCGGAAACCATGATTAGGATAATCCTTTCGAGCCGAATTATATAATGGTCGCATATATGGGTGGTTGTCAAAATTAGGGTCCCTTCTTGGGTACCTTAAATATATGGTGCCGTACTATAATAAGGACCCAAAAAGGGACCCTAATTTTGACAACCACCCATATGGACCCCTCTGCCTCTGGGCTAGAGTTTCTAGATGCAAACCCTGAACCCGAAGCCCCACTAAACCCTAAGCCCTAAACCATAAGCCCTAAGCCCTAAACCCTAAGCCCTAAACCCTAAGTGTGAATCCCTGTGAAAGGCGAGCGTCGCTGCCGACCGGATCAAGGCACATGGGTAGCTCAAAGGAAAAGAGTTTCGCCCCTGTGGGGCAGCGGTCGTCTGTCGGTCTGTCTGGTCTGTTGGTTTGTGTTGGGTTTTGCATTGGTAGCGGAGCCCGAGCCGCGGTCTCGGGCAGTTCGGTTTGTCTGTCGGTTGGTTTGGTCTTTTGGGTCCTGTACGACCGTCTTTTTGTCTTCTAGCTTAGCTAGTTTTGTCCAATGGCTACACCAGAGCCTGCGCCCGCTGACCCGTGGTCGAGCTGGCAGCCTCAGACAGCATCCGGCGACCATCAGCCTGCTGAAGTAGACGCCCCGGGTCATGCTCCATTACCCGATCCGCCGCAAGATGAAGAACAGCAGCTGGGTGGTCCGGCGCCAGACCAAGGTAACGATTCTCCGGAATGGCATGGGAGGGACTGGCGACAGCGAAGCTGGACTGAGCAGGATGAGAACGCAGACTGGGGAGCTGCCCATTGGGGTTGGCAGCAGCCCTGGCCACACCACAGCTGGAACAGCAGGTACCCGGAGGACAGCCACACCTGGCATAGGCACTCCGGCGATTGGACCGGGACTACCGGGTCCACGCGAGACTCCGACCATGGCTCGGACACACAGTGGCCAGGCCGCTGGTCAGGCACCGAGGCCCCGCGTACGTCTTCTACCTGGACTCCGGACGGTGCACCTGCGGGAACTTCGAATGGTGATGACTGGGAGACCAAGAAGGCGCACATCTCGGAACGCATGGCTGTGCCTTCCTTTTCAGCAGAGGCCACCGGCGACGACCTCGGTGCGAGTGCAAGGTCGTACCTACGACAGATAGATGCATGGATCAAGGTGACCCGAACCCCCCGACACCAACAAGCTCTTCTCCTATACCAACACCTGCAAGGACGCGCCTGGGTGGAGTCCGAAGAGCTCTCCGTCGAGCGCCTCGCTTCAGAACAGGGGGTTACGGTGTTCAGGCAGTGGGTACAAGAACGTTATCAAGAAGTTGAAATTTCGAAGGTTGCCGAGGCCCTGACCCACTTCTTCCGCAAGCTTCGCAGGGGCCCGCAGCAGAGCATCAGGGAGTTCAACTCCTCCTATGACAGAGCTCACACCCGACTCCTTGAGATAGATTGCCGACTACCTGAAGTTGCTCGTGCATGGGCGTACCTCAACGGACTGGGCCTCTCACAAAGCGAAGAGCTCGGCATCCTCGCTTCGGTCGGCAATGAGTACAATACGACCAGGCTGCAGCGGGCGGCAATCTTGCACGAGAAGAGCCTCAAGGGACACTGGCAGTACCGCCGGGGACAGACGGGGGACGAGACCCGTCGAGGTGGAAACTACAAGAACGCGAAGGGCGCCTACGTGACGGAGCACAACGAGGACACGGAAGGCGACGAGAACTCGATTGTGGGCGACGAGTTGCCAGAGGAGGAGGCAGCGGAGTTGCACGAGGCTTACATGGCATAGGAGAGCGCCAAAGCGAAATACCGCGAGATCGCAAAGGCCCGGGGAATCAACCCCGATCTCGCGAAGAACGACGGGAAGACCCCGGGCGAGAAGCTTCAGATCGCGAAGTCCAGAAGCTTCTGCTCAGGGTGCAAGCGCAGAGGACATTGGCACCGAGATCCGGAATGTCCTTTGAATCAGGGCCGAGGAGGAACCGCCGACCGGCCCGAGAACAAGGACAGCGGCAGTGGAGTCAAAGAGGGCTACGTCGTCCAGATCGCCTACGAGGTTGGCGACAATGGGGACCGGGACAGGCTCTACGCCATCACCGACTGTGCCTGCAGCAAGACCGTCGCCGGACAGCGGTGGATTCAGGACTACATCGGCAGTGCGAAGCGATCTGGATGGGAACCGCAATTGATTCCATGCGATGACGAGTTTCGCTTCGGAGCATCAAAGTTGTTCAAAGCCAACTACACGGCCACTGTCGTCATCAACGTCGAGGACAAGAGCTTCATGGTTCGAGCATCAATTGTGAGCGGAGACGTACCCCTCCTTCTTTCGCGAGGAGTGCTCGCCCGATTGGGCATGATTTACGACATCGAGAACCACCGCGCCGATTTCAAGAAGCTGAACATCACCAACCACAAATTGTGTTATACCGCTAGCGGCCACCCGGCCGTACCGGTCTCACCTGTCCGGCGCAGTGGCCTTGAGTACCCTGATCCACAAGCGTGGGGGTCCCGTGAGGTGATCATCAACAGTGTGCCTGCTCCAGTATACACAGCTTTTATGACAGGGAACAGGGAAGCCAGCCTAGAGGTACCAGCCCCCGAACCACATCAAGTACTACCAGCTACGCTGTTCTTTCCAAAGAAGGTTGATTCTGCCGTCTACAACATGTTGTCAGCTGAAGCCTTCGACCCTGTCGCCTTCTCTTCATGGTGGAGTACAACAAAGCACTGTAATGATTTTTGGATTGAGGGCCCTGCCGAATGGATCCGTGTTCACATCATCCCACGAAAGAATCTTTTTAGCCCAGAGCACTGGAGAACTACGAACCTCGATCACAAAGCCGCTCTACTTGAACATCTAGGATGTCTTAGGAGCACATGGCCTGTTGCGTGTCAGAGCTTCCGAATGATGTCACCGCTTCATGATGCATGGCAAGGTCAACCTTCAATGCCTCTCGCTGCCTTGTGGGTCGGAAGAACAGTTTTTGCAAAAGCAGCCCTCGGCCGTCCCCGCGAATCCTCGACTCATGTCCAAGGCGGCCAACAACAAGTCTCCATGGCAGATGACGAAGGCCGAGTTGATCCAGTGCGCCACCGACATGGGAGTGACTGTACACTCGACCTGGACAGCGCCCGAAATCAGATCGATCATTCAAGAACGGCGCCAGAAGAACAACACCTCTACGATCCCGAAAGGACTGTCAAGTATGACCTTGGTAGAGCTGCAGGAAAAGGCCGGGGAGCTCAACGTGAAGATCAACTCCCGCATGGGCAAAGGCGAGATCATGAGGGCCATCAGGGACTTCACGCGGGCCCCCGACGAGGAAGTCGTGAGCTTCGGGAGGTTCCGGAACTACATGTACAAGGAAGTCCCGGAAAGCTACCTGCAGTGGTCTATCCGAGAGACGACAGCCAACAGCGGTGCGAGCGACGACTTGAAGAGGCTTGCAGCATGGGCATCGACGAGGGAGACCCCGACTATCGAGGACCCAGAGGACCACGCGAAGATCCCCTACTCCCCGGAGGCCGAGACGAGCTCAGTGGGAGGATCGCTGTCGAGCTGGTCGGTGGCAGACCAACGCCCACTGCCTCCGAGTGGCTATGCAAAGGCAAAGGCCAAGGCGCCGGGACAAGGGACCAAGAAGCCACGGGAGGAGACGGGCACACCAGCACCCATGCAGCAGGACCTGCCACCGGAGATCGCAGAGGAGCTCCGGGTGCTCGCCACCCGCTTGGCCACGCTGCGGGACCAGTACAACCTGGACTCCGCACTTCCCCCGCCGTGAAGGCCGAGAACCGGGAGCAGTCGGACTACAACTATGAGCCGACTGCCAGAATGAGCCCTGGCTGTGAGGATACAGGTGGGCGTGATGATTGCCATTTTGGCCCATTTTTGCCGAGCTCAGGAGGCCTGAGCCCAATCTCTGGTCGTCCGGATGACGAGGAGATTTTCTATGACTGTGAGCCCGAGACTGCATGGGAAAGCACTGTGTTTGAGGCCGGCGAGTTCCTCGAATGCTATGAGACGCAGCTCCCCGACGTCAAGGCCCTGGAGAAACGTGCCAAAGAACTCCGCCAAGCTAAGGACTACAGCCCAGGAGTTTGTGAATGGTTCATCAAGAAGCTTTGTGAGCTGGCTGGAAATGTTCCCCGCCGGTCGTGCCAAACAAGGGGAAAGCTACTCGTCCTTGGTGGCTACGTCCATGGAGGTATCACCGGGGTGACTGCCAAGAGCCACGCTTTCAAGGAAGCGGCGCGCTATCTCAACAACTATATCAAGCACCACCTACCCGGACGAGGAAGGTGGACTAGCCTCTGCATCAACGTTGGCAACATGGCCGGACCCCACCGGGATTCCAACAACTACCACCGGAGCTTCAACTACACGACCTCTTTCGGGCAGAAGTCAGGAGGGCGAGTATGGATCGAACGCGGAAAAGAAGAAGGCCTAGAAGGAGAACCGCATGCACTACATCTGGATCACAAGGAAGCGATCCCTGGGATCTTCGTCAACACCAACGAAAGAGTTGTCAAGTTCCACCCCCATCGGAGGCACTTCGTTGAGGCATGGACCGGAGAGCGGGCATCTTTGACGGCCTATGCCATTCGGAGCACCGGGAGCTTGACCCGGGAGGAGCGAGATTTCCTGCGAAGCCTCGGTTTCCCAGTCACCGACGACCTCGACGAGGACCGTGGCAACATCGCCTACGTGAGCGACCGCGACCAGGCCAACTACCCCGACAAGCACGTCCAGGAGGAGGTCACCAAGCGACCAAGAAAGAGCACGAGGAAAAAGCTGTGGAAAAGTGCCGCAGCGGCCGGGAGTCTCTTCGCGCTCACCTTGAACGCTGCCACCACTTATGCGTGCGATCTCTACCCGAAGCCTACTACCGGAGTGGCACTACAGGAGATCGGCGGCGAAGAGGAGACCTACAAGGCCGCCGAGTTGGGGCACGACGTCGCCGAGCCGTTCAGCAACGACGTTTGGTACAGCGAGCGGACCTACAAGGAGTTCAGCGAGAACCTGCAAAGCCTCGCCCCGCGAGTCCTGTGGATCCATGTAGAAGACCACCCAGTCTTGAAGGACCGGATCAAGGACGCAACCAACGCCCAGCTGGACCGAGGAGGAACAGTCGTATATGAAGCGTCCGAAGGATCCTCATTGTGGCGAGATAGTGACCTGCTGAAGATCCAAGCCGACAATTACTACAAGTTCGAAGTAATCGACGACGCCAGCTACCTGTGGGTGAAACAAAGTCCGTTCTATGATCCGCCCCCGATTCAGGAGGTCTACACCGCAGAGGCCAGGAGCTCAGAAGAACCACCCGCAGTTGGAGCAAGTGCTATCTCCTTCGACAAAGTCGTTGCTCCTCATGTACAAGCCGCTCTAACACGACTTCACCAGAACCTCGGGCACCCCGCGGTCACCGACCTGACTAGGCACTTGCGATTGGCAGGTGCTAGTGAAGACATCATCAAAATCGCCAAAGGAATGCGCTGCCAGGTCTGCGCCAGGAACAAGAGAGCCTCTGCACCGCGTCCGGCTTCACTCCCATCATTCCTCGACTTTAACCAACTGGTCAGCGTCGACGTCTTCCACGTGTTTGACATCAACCGGAAGCGCCACGAGATGATCTCCGTCGTGGATCACGGCACTACCTTCCACCTGGTGAAGCGACTAGAAGGGCATTCCGCTAAAAGCTTCGAGCACGCCTTTGTCGATGTCTGGGCAAATACCTTTGGAGCTCCGGGGTGCATTGCCGCAGACCTGGAAACCGGCCTCCAAGCCGGATTGGCAAAGTACTGCGAGTTTGCGGGTGTAAAGTTACGTGCTGCAGCGGGCCAAGCACACTGGCAGCAGGGGACTGTTGAACGGCACGGACAGTGGCACCAGGACATCCTCCAGAAGATCATCGACGAGCAGTCCGTCGGGGAGAATGACGTCGATCTGGCTGTCACCGCGGCCAACCAGGCGAAAAACGAACTCCGCAGAAGACACGGATACTCACCGTGCCAGGCTGTGTTCGGAAAAGATCCTCGGCACCCCGAGGACCTCATGGATGGGAACGATGAAGAGCGAGCGCTGGAGATGATGACTGCCGATCGCAAAAGGCAGAGAGAGGTGGCGCTCCGGACAGCGGCTCGCACCGCTTTCTTCCGCTCACAAGTAGATGTGAAGCTGAGAAAAGGACTCATTCAGAGAGCCCGCGTCAAGAAGGGGTCCTACGCCATTGGAGAAATGGTCTGCTTCTACCGCCTCGGCAAGTCCGGGACGACCAACAAAAGGGGCCAGTGGAAGGGACCTGGCCTCATCCTCGGCAACGACGGCGGGAACTGGTGGATAAGCTACGCGGGACGGTGTCATTTGGTGGCGGAAGAACACATGCGACCGAGCACAGCCGAAGAGCTTGGCAGCTTGTTCTCTTCCCAGATCACTCGAAAAGACCTGGAAACACTACTGTTTGCAGATCCCGACGATCCGAACAACTACGCCACCGAGGAGGAGGAAGGCGACTGCGACATGGGAGCCGACAACCGCGATGACCAGGACGAGCCACCGTTCGAGCACGACCTTGCGAACGACGACGCCATGGAGGAACCAGAGGCTGCTCCCCCGCAGGCCAGTTACGGCCCTGAAGGGCGTCGTCGGAGACGAAAAAGCCGACCACCAGGAAGCGAACCCTATGAGGCTCTCATGATGAAGACCGCCACCACCGAAAGATCTCGCGAGAAACAACGCGAGAAGGAACTCCCGTGGCGACTCATTCCCCCCGAGCAGCACCAGGCCTTCAAAGAAGCAGAGGCCAAGCAGATCAAGGAGCACCTGGACCACGCCGCCCTGAGCATCCTGTCTCGCGAGGAGACGATTGCCGTCCTCAAGATCACGCCCCCAGAGCGCATCTTGAATTCCAGATGGGCATACAAAGACAAAAACTACGCCAAGCGCAGAGAAAATGATAGTCTTCCCTGGAAAGCAAAGGCCCGTCTCATCATCGGAGGACACAAAGATCCCGACGTGGCCTCCCTCGTGACAGATGCTCCAACCGTCAATCGCCTATCCGTCCTCGTACTTATGCAAATCCTCTCCTCACACCTCGACGACCCGGAGCCGTGGTGTGCGAGTGCTGGGGACGTGAATGCAGCGTTCTTGAACGGACCGCCGCTCCAGCGAACATTGTTCATGAGACAGCCAAGGACCGGGATACCGGGTATGGAGAAAGACGCCCTCTTCAAGGTCGAAAAAGGAATATTTGGGTTGCCAGACTCTCCGCGAGGATGGTGGGATGAAGTACAGCGGATCATTGACGAGATCGAGATGAACCACGACAACGAGACCTACTACCTCGTGGCTTGCGCCTTGGACCCGTGCGTCTACTACCTCGTCCCAGAACAGGACCGACGCGGCACCCCGCGAGCATACCTATGCATCCATGTCGACGACTTGTTGGTCGTCGGGCCAAGAAAGTTGGCCGTGAAGCTGCGGGAGACCCTCAGCCTACATCTCCCCATCGAAGAATGGGAAGAGAACAGCTTCGACTACATTGGGTCACATTTCGAGGTGAAGGAGGACTGCGTCGAGGTGACACAGACAGCCTACGCTGCCACCCGACTTTTTACGGTCGATGTGGACAAGGCGCAGCGTGACCCTGAAGGAGCCACCACTGAACAGAAGACGGACAACCAGAGCTTGATTGGCGGACTCTCGTGGCTGGCCGTGCAATCCCGCCCAGATCTTCAGGTGTCAGTCTCCATTGCCCAGCAGATGCAGAAGGACCCTTCCGTCGAAGATGTGAGATTCACAAACTCGACATCTCGAAAGGCTGTGAGCTTCAAGGACAACGGGCTAAAGTTCACCAAGATCGACCTCAGCGACCCCGTGCTCATGGTGTTCCACGACTCCTCGTGGGCCAATGTTGTTCCCCTGGAAGGGGAAGATGGGTTCCGTCTAAGCATCGAGGACCACGAGAAAGGGTTCATGACAGAGGTGCCCAGTGACTTCCAGGTCCGCAAAGCAAAGAGGGCCAGCACAAAAGTGGCCAGCCAGTACGGGATTCTCATCCTGGCGACCGACCAGGAGAAGCTACGAGAAGGAGGACTATGCAATATCCTCGACTGGAAGTCTTCAACGGCAAAGCGCGTTTGCCGGTCCACCTTCGCTGCCGAGTCTATTGCATGTTCTGAAGGGCTGGAACAAGGGCAGTACGTCAGGTCAGTTTTCATGACAATTCTCAGAGGAGAACTACAAAAGGTCGAAGACCTCGAAGGAAAGCACTTGAGGTGCTTTACAGACTGCCGGTCACTGTACGACCACCTTCACCGTGTTGGTGTCCCTAGGACTCCAACCGATAAACGGCTCGCCATAGACCTTGCCGCAATTCGGCAAATCCTTCACCGGGAGAGGTATGCCGGCAAGCTTCCCCTCGATTGGATTCCCACCTCGTATCAGCTAGCCGACATACTTACCAAGCCTATGTGTCCCAAGACGTGGTGGAATCAAGTGAAGGGAACTTATCGGATCCCGTTCCGAAGCACCTGAGACGGTGAAGAGATTTTTAAGCAGTGTGAATCCCTGTGAAAGGCGAGCGTCGCTGCCGACCGGATCAAGGCACATGGGTAGCTCAAAGGAAAAGAGTTTCGCCCCTGTGGGGCAGCGGTCGTCTGTCGGTCTGTCTGGTCTGTTGGTTTGTGTTGGGTTTTGCACTAAGCCCTGATCCCTAAGCCCTAAACCCTAAGCCCTAAACCCGAGGCCCTAAACCCAAAGCCCGAAGCCCTAAACCCTAAGCCCGAAGCCCTAAACTCTCACAACAAATCCTTTGCACCCGGCAGCATAAGCTTTTCTTCATCCCAAGGATCCCCACATAGACCACGTCTTCTGAATGAGAGTCTATCCTAAACCCTAAACTCTAAAATCTACACCCCCAGACCCTAAACTCTAATCCCTAAACGCTGAACCTGGAGTTAGGTCTTGATGTTTGAGTCTGTTGGTTTGAGTGCTCGGGGTTTACGGTTTCCGGGCTCAGCGCGTCGGGGCGTGACATGCTCCAACGGGAGTTCCGGGGAGTGCCTGCAAAGCGCAGCAGCTCGGGCCCCCTATCTTATCTTTGGTTAGCGGGGAATGGAGGAATGGGGTACAATTAACTACTACTACTACCATGCTTCCATTCCCTACTAACCGAAGGTAAGTTATAGGGTTTCATAACAGAACTCGTATATAGGACGCGGTCAGCCACAAGAAGCGTAAACATGGTGGCCATTAAAATTCAGTGAGTAGAGGTAGCAAAGGGGTATACCTTAAGCCCTAAACCGTAAACGTTGAACCCAAACCCTAAACCCCTAAACTTTATGCCTTAAGCCGTAATGCCTAAACCGGGGACCCCTTAAGCATTAAGCCTGAGCCCTGAACTCCTTGTAAACCTAAGCCGCAGGATATTCTGGGCTACTACATATCCTTCCTCAAGTCCCTCGCGCTCCGGCTCAACTTCGAGTGCTTCGGCCGAGCATTAAGCACGAGTTGCTTGGAGTACTTTTAGAGTGTTCTATGTAATTGTTTTGTTGCAGTGGAGCAGGGTGCGATCGGACGCATTAAGGTTAAGCTCTGAGCTGTAAACGGGATCGTGACGACAAAGTTGTGGTCCTCCATCCAGATCCCCGCGCTGTAAATTAATGTAGACCCCTGATATAACCCTTTTCTCTTGCTTCAAAAAGTAGTACATTATAGTAGTAGGATCCTCTTCAGGAGGGTTTAGTACCCCGGAGTTTACATTGAGCCCTAAACCCTACATCCTTCCATCAGGACCATCAAGTTCTTCTTCAACGAGCACTCGCAACAGTTCCCACTTTACACGGAGGCGATTCGCTTTTTCGGCCATCAGGACCCGTCAGCAGTCTTTACGGCCTTTTGCTTCAGGCATTACGGCTTAAGGTTCTTGAGAGTCGGGCTCATTTTAGGGTCCAGGCTGTGTTTGTTGGGCATGAAGCAGGTCAGCGTCTTGGGATCTTCCCCAACATCTTCGAGTAAGATTGAGATCAGAGTTTTGGGACCTACCCCAACGTCTTCAAGTAAGAGAGTTCCGATTCTTTAGACTTTAGACCTTATATACTACCGTTATGGAAGTAGTTCCTGAAGACCATCCCCATTATGGTCTTTGGGACCTAATTCCAAAATGGTCGTATATATGGAGCCTTATACCTGAAACCTTATAGATCCCTTTCAGGAACTTCTAATGGTAGTATATATATGGACCCGCTGGGTTATCAAGGGCTATCGTGGTCAGGGCTTCAGGGAGGTGGGTGCTCCGAAATGAAAGCCGTTCTTTGGGTACGGCCCCCACTCAGTATTAGTTGAATAATATTCATAATATAGATATAGTAGGACCCTAATAGTAGCCCTATTATAGACTCTTACTGTATGGGGGCCGTACCTAAGCCGTTCTGTCATGAACGTCGGAAAGTCTTATGTAATGACATAAGATGTTCCAAACCCGAAGCCAGAAAGCTCCTACCTCCTCGAACTTGAAACCCTAAGCCATAACTCTAAACCTTAAAGCCCTGAACCCAAACTCTGACAACTCTAAGCCCTAACCCTAAACCCTAAACTCTAACTCCTATAGCTCTAATCCTTAAACGCCTTAAACTTTAAACTTTGATCCGACTGGAGGACCCCATGGTCCGAACTGCAGTGCGAAACCTCACGCTGCAAGTGCATCCGAGCTGCGAATCACCGGGGGGTTCAGGGGTTTGGGGTTTAATTCGGGTTTAGGGTTTTGGGTTAGGGCTTTAGGGTTTAATTAGGGGTAAGGGGGCCCTTCCAACGTCTGGGGATTTCCAGGTCTAGAGGACTTTTGGGAAGGCGCTACGGGGATTTTACGACAGCAGATCTGGGAAGGTAGGACCACAGAGGGTTTGCGGATGATTTGGGACTGTGGGATTTGCGTCGAGGACTTGTTTCAATGGGCACGTTCAAGGTTTTTCTTGTCAGTTCTCTTCTAGGTCACCTGCGGCCAGACCCAGGTACAAGGTAGACGACGCGGCCATGCGCGCCTTCATCCTGGATCGGTCGCAGGCGTACTTTGCTCCTGGTCCGAAATAGACAGATGGGTTTGGTGTTTAGGGCTTAGGGTTCAGGGTGTAGGGTTGCTCGGTGCAGGATTAGGGGTTTTCAACGTAAGCTGTGCGGGTGTTTCCGACCTCACATTACTTCAAATCTTCTTCCTCGTGCTGATTGCAAACTAAACCCAGAACGGCCCAGAACCCTAAACCCAGAACCCGAAACCCAGAAAATTCTAAACCCTAAACCCTAAACCCGAAATGCCTTAAACCCTAAACCCTACACCCGAAATGCCCAAAACCCAAAACCCTCCAACCCAAATCCGAACCCCTTAAAGACTAGGACCTAGGGTAGGCTCTTATTCCCTTTTTGTACGGTTCAGGTTCCCTTATAAGCCCCTTCAAACCAAAAGGGCACCCTTGTTATTTCCAGGTTACTCTGGGTTTAGAAGAAGAGCTCTTTAAGTGGATCCTTGTCGGATCCTTGAAAGAACCCTTCAAGAAATCTTGCAAGTACCCTCTGCAGCCTGAAGCACGTAGCTCCGCTAGAATCCCTAGACGAGCCTTCACGGCTCCTTGAAAGTAAGCTTAACACCCTAACCCCACTAGGGTCCAGGGTTTAGGGTGTGGGGTTAGGGTTTGGGGTTTAGGGTGTAGGATGTGGGCAACCGTGAATACCGGAAAGCCTGCAAAACTTGGCGTTCTTCTGGTTGGCTCTTTAGACTTTAACTTTTTGGGCTTCTATATGAATTATAGTAAGGATGCTAAAAGTTTAACTTTTAGGAGGGGTTCAGAAGTCAGCCAAGAAAAGACCTGCCAAGGAGCAGTTGGCGGGCCATCTCCGAAGTCTCTGGGTGCCTCGAGCGTCTTAATGTCTAGGGGCCGGGTTTAGGGTTTGGGGCTTAGGGTTTAAGGCATTTCGGGTTTAGGGTTTCGGGCTTCATGGGGTTTGCCCAGAGAGCCCAATACCCCTGAATTATAAGGAATATGGCTTAAATTATATAGGGCCGCACATTATTGATTTAAGCCATGTATTCCTTATTTAAGGGTATTGGGCTCTCTGGGTTTAAGATCCCTTAAAGATCCCCTTATAAGGAACCCTTTAAAAGAACCCCTATATTCCTTATTTCAGGGGTATTCGGCTCTCAGGGCGTGGGGCTTTGGGTCTAGGGCTCTAGGATTTAGGACGTAGGGTCTGGAGCTTCGGCTTTCGGGTAGGGCAGGGTGGGGCAGAGGTATATTTATAAGGGTATTATAAGGTGTATTTATAGGGTATTATAAGGTACTAAAAGGTATATTATAAGGTATCATAAGGTTTAGGGTTTAGGGTTTAGGGTTTAGGGTTTATTGGGGTTTATTAGGGTTTATAAAGGGTTTCGGGTTCATGATCGGGCTCGGGGCTTCCGGTCGTAATGCCCGCTATAGAACTCCATAAGAGCCTTCTTTTAATGTAGCTTAAGGGAGGATTTCCGTAAAACCCGATATTTTTTGAAGCATGCAAGCGTTCATAAACACGTACCCCACAATCTAGGAGCTTATATGCAAAGTTCCCCTACCACGAAACGCCCTAAACCCTAAACCGCTTAACCTCAAGCACTGCAGCCCAAGAACCCTAACGCCCCGAAACCCTGAACCCTAAAAAAAAAAAAGACCTAAACTCACGTGCTTTAAAAATGAGATAGGAATGCCCATTTTTTCGGCGTATTCCTTAGCCGCTAACATCATTGCTTAGGGCTCCTTGTGCCCCTATGCCCTAAACACGAAACCCTAAGCCCCTCTAGCCGGTTATGTGGTGTCTTAGGGGTTTAGTAGGGTTTCAGGGTTTAGGGTTCAGGGTTTTGTCAGTGACACAATGTACTCGTGAAGTCCTCCTACTACATGGTTGTGTACTACCTGAAGAACAACCTCGGGGTTTTTGTCTCCACCAATGTGCGCCTTTACAGGTGGACGTAGGCCATCACACTTCAACAAAAAGCCTAGAACCGTGCAGGAATTTCATTCTAAACTCCCATTATTAAGACCTGAACCCTAAACCCGAAACGCCGAAATCCTAAACGCTACACCCCTCATGCCTAGAACCGAAACTCTAAATTTGAAGCCCCAGGTGCGCCTGGACCGAGCCGAGGCATCGTCGGCTTTGTCGCCCGGCGAGGGGTTTTGATGCTTTTTTTTTTGAAGGGTTTAGGGTCCTTTCGGCTTTAGTTCGGGCTTCTTGGCAAAGCTTTAGGGCTTTTTTTAGGGCCAATATGGGGGGTTCAAGTCTTAGAGTTTGTGCAGTTGGGGTTGATGTAGGGTCCTACTGTTGATGGACAAAATCCTGCATGACCCTAAGGACTCTAAACTATGGGAACTATGGTATATTCCTTATAATGGGTCATGCAGGATTTTGTCCATCAACAGTAGGTTTGAGCGTTTGAGGGTTTAGGGCTTGAGACTTTCGGGGGTTCCGGGCTTGAGGGCCCTGGGTTTGGGGGGTTTAAGCTTTGCGCTTCGCTTTTTCCTAGACCGCGTGCCCAGGAGGCTTGGTTGGTTTAGGGGTTTAGGGTTTAGGGTTTAGGGTTTAGGGTTTAG